CTAAAAAAACAACCTTAATAACAAAAATAAATAAATAAATAATAAATATTAAATACTAAAAAATAAAGATCTTATTTTAAAAAAAAAAACTTTTATAAGTAAATCATAAATTTATATATGAAATTGAGATATATTAAGTTATTTGATCTATAATTACAACACTCAAAAGAAAATATTCTATATCTGTTATATCAAAATAATAAAAATTAATATACTACTAGTGGTTAACAAATAAGTCGAGTTTCAAAAATCAAATTCGGTTTGATTTTTTATAAAAAGAAATAGATCTTTAATTCTAACCAGTTTAAGCTTAATTCGGTTTACCTTAAATCGGTTTTTTATTAGGTTTTTAAATTTATTACAGGTTCTGATCTGATACTATTAATACTACTTTAAACAAGGTTATTCAATATACAAACTTATTTATAATTGCAGCATTAAAAAACATACAATAAAATGGATTGAATCCAATTCATTAAAATAATCATTTAATTATTTGAGTAACAATAAGATAATAGTAGCTTACCGAGTGTTGAAACACTTTATTATAAATGAAATTGATATGAAAATAAAATATAGTATTAAATAAAGTCCAAAAATCAAGCATCTGTTAAAAGGTTTTTGTGAGCACTATAATATGCGGCGTATAATTGTTGGCATCTCGGAAAAATAATTGTTGCGGCTGACACTGAAATTCGACCTATAAGTTGAAAATTTTAAAGGTGCATTTTTATATATTAATTTTAGGGTTGGTTTAGGATTTATGGTTAGTTATTAATAAAAGAGTATAAGTATATTTTAGTAGAGTTTATATATTCAAATAGAGGCTCCAAATTTCAGCACCAGCCGCGACAATAATTAGTAATCAATTTATCAAATTTCTAAATATGCTTTGACGTACCTTATAAGTCAATATGTTCTAACAATTTCACGCAAGCACATAATCATAAATTTTGTTCTATTAAACAATTTGAATATACATCGAAAACATACACTACAAACCGCACCATCCATTCGAATTTTATTTTTTTGCATATGTAATCTTGAGCTTGTTATCAGGAGTTATAGGATAATTGGTTAAAGCTTCTTTTGCGATCATGGCTTGAGGTTCACTATCATATTCTACAAATGCTATACCTTTGGCTGGATGAATTGAACGAACTTCTTTGAATCCAGAATATCTAATAGATTAAAATTTTAATATATATAGAAAGATAGATATAAAGAATTAATTACAGATATAGCAGATATAGTTATGTTTAAACATAGGAAAAATACAACATACTGTTCGAATAAAGCAGTAAGGACAGCTCCAGTTATATCACCCGGTAGATTTTGAAGAAAGAGAATATTATTAGGTGGAAGATATTCGTCTGGAATATTCCCAGTTGCAGGAACTTGATGCCCGAAATGATACATTGATGCTAAAACATAATAAATACAGTAAATCAGTAAAGAAAAAAAGTATTACATAACTATAAACAAAACTTACCACCAGGAATATTTGATTGCCCCAATTGAAATTGTGATACATTACTTGACTTGAATTTTTTCACAGGAGGTTCTTTAGCACGTTTTTCTGGAAAATATCCGGGAATTATCATTATGTTTCTACTTTTCATTGCATTGCATATGAACTTAAAAATTACCCTTGGCTTCCAATCTCAATCTTTTATGTTCTTCAATAGTTCCATCCAGTATTGCAATTGCATCTGACTTTGTTCTTGCGAATTGTATAACCTTTGTACGTAATAAAATGTTACAAGAATGAAGAAGAATTAGCTAAAGGCCAATTTTAACAACTTACCATTGGCTTTCCATGTAGCGCAAACCCTTGAACTCCTTTAACTGCATTAACTGCGCTTTCTTGCTCTTTAAAAACTACGAACGCTTGACCACGCATTCTTAAAGTATCACGTGCTACAATGTCTAAAATTTCACCATACTGTTCAAAAATGGCTTTTAAATTATTTTTCAGGACTAATAAAAGTAAACCTTTTTTAATTACATATATTGTAGTCAGAGTTTAAGGGAAATCGGAAACTAACTTTACCAGGCAATTTTATTTTTTCGTTCAGATTGTTGATATAAATTGTATTACTTGGCGTGGTGCACGGTGGCTGCTTAGAAATGTTTGATATTCCTGACTGAGGATGGCCAAATGCAGGCGGGGCACCATATACCGCAGCGCTTGGCGGTACTGACATTTTTAATAACTTTAATAGTTAAAAGACTGTATTGCTAGCGCTAGCACATTTTACTACTTTTCGCGGATTATCCCAAAAATTCTGTAACGTGACTTCTGATCCTGTGATACATCTGTTGATAGGATGTTAAAAGTCCGGTTCGAGTCGGTTTTTGAGTCGACTCCAAGTCAACAGCAGGGACAGTGCCTCATATGTAGATCATCGTTTAACGTTACACAACTTATATAATTTTTTTTTTATATTATTTTAAAGTACTTCGAACATCTTGTATTACTCGCTTGCATAATAACCTAAGTGCCAATAGGTTACTAAGCGAACTTGAAGCTTTTGAATGGTAGAAAGCAAATATCGATTGAATCTATTTGAATCCAACTACCTTAAGTTTATAATCAAAATAGCAGATGTTAAAACATGCTTAGAGTGTAGAACAATTGTTTCCCAAAGGTTTCACTAGTTAGGTGATGAAATGTGGCAAGAAGTTGTAACTAAAGGTTTGATAAGAGAATCGTGACATGATGCTATGATGCTTTGTAATTCTTGTTATATGAAATATGTAGTAAATCCTATGAAAAGAGAAAAAAAAGTTACTAATAAAGATATTATAGAAGAAATTAAGATAGATGTTAAAGAAACGGAAAAAATGGACATCTTGAGCAATAGTTTTGAGCTTGTTGAAGCCATACAGTCTATGGCAAAAATTCTTTATTATAGAGAAGTTAAAGAAAAACAAAAGCCTATCTATAAATTCGACGAATTACAGGGGTTACTCAAGGAGCAAGATTCTAATTTAAGTTATTTCTTCAATCAATTATATTTAGCAGCATGCCTATCAGAACGTAACAATCAAACTATGGAGCGTATAAAAAAAGTTATGGTATTTATTTGCTATTTTCTTGCTTCATTAAATAATACACAAATTAATGTCTTTAAGTTAGATCTTGTATTTTATTTAGATTCAGCTAGAACAAGTAACAAGAGCTTAAACACAATAGCAAATCTTGGCATAACTACGACGTCAAAAACAGTAAATAGAAAAAAAAAAAAGATATTAGAAATACATAAAAAATACGTTAGAGATGATCTTGTAGAATATTTAAATGATGTACTTGTACTTAATATTGATGATTATCATAGCATCTATGTTTAACAATAATTTTGTACTACTGCTACATCTATACTAACTCATATAGCAACAATCATAGTGAATTCGTGCTTAATGTTAGCTATACTATGTAATTAAGTACTTAATCCTAAAATTGTAGATGGAGAATTAATCATAAGGCATATAGATAAGCATTTTATTGTAAATCTTAGTATTTCTTATTATAATTATATAAAAAATTGCATAAAGAGAGAATATACTGATATCGAGCTATTAGAGAAACTTACTTTACATAGTTATGATGATAGATTAGCAGAAAAAAAAAGTGAATGATGTATTAAAAATTGTATCCTTTTTGATTTTGTTAAACATAGTTTAAAGAAAATTGAAGGGTATTTGGATTCATTTCAAATTGTATACAAGCAGAAGCTAATGCAAAAATATCTTTTTAAATTCGTAGTTCCTGTCATTGCAGATTGACCTGATCAATTCTACATTCAAAAAGCTATAGCACAGAAAGTTCTTTTGAATAATCAAAATATTTACAAATATATCACAGCATTTCTACCTTTGATAGGTCCTCTTCACATCTCATTGAATGCTCGCAAACTTGTTTTTAAGAAAAATTCATTTTTGTTTAATGATATTTATAAAAACTTATTTAGAATTTGTAAAGATCTTTGTAAAAAACTATGGCCATGGCGAATTGATTTAATTCTTTATATAGTAAATTTGACATGGTTTGAAATAGATGATTTTATTTATTCAAAATTCAGTTATGCATACAAAAATATCAAATTCTTATATTTAACTAACCTTTTTAATAATTTAGTTCCTTTAGTTTTAAACGTTTATATGATATATCACTGTGAAGGAAACTAGCTAGCTTATGAGGAAGCTAGTATATGTTGTTGAAGTGATCTTTTTTTACAGTTTGATCAAAAAAATTATAAGCATGCACTTTTGATATTTTTTTTAGACATTTTTTATTAGAAAGAAACTAATTATCCAATATTTAATTTTATTGTTAACCATCTTGCTACTTTAAGTGATGCTCTTGTGGAAATATTTTATAGTATTATTAGACAGTGTATTTCTAAATTTTCGATGGGTAAATAATTACGAATTGCTACGCATACTACTTATAAACAATGACATAGCAATGATTTTCAATAACAATTTATAAGTTCAGATAAGTATCCTTATTCACTAAAACAATTATGTATGTTTTCTCAAAAATACGCTATATATCTTTTAGAATTGTTTACTAAAATATATCATTTATATGATATAAGCTTATTTATTATTGATTATTCTAATAATATTAACATATATAAGTTAACATCATTAGGTTATGAAATTATAGATCGTCATCTTCCAAGAGGTTTTGTTACATCAAGAAAGCCTAATATTTTTGCTTTATATGACTTATTTTATTGCAATGCACCTTATAATTTATCTAATAGTAGTGTCCTAGCATGTGAACATAGTTACCATAGTTATTGCTTACAAAATCAACAATTTAAATATTTTATTTGTTTAAATTATTTACAACATAAAATTCAAAAAAATACTGATACTTTAATCAAAAGTTTAACAAAAAATTTAGACAAGAACTTATCTAAAGAAGATATCGAAGAAGACAAGGATTATGATGAAGATTCAAATAAAATTCATGAAGTATCTGATGATGTGATAGTTACATGCCAATTAGAAGATGCAAAAAAATTATTTTTTGAAATAAAATAAATTGAAGTTGTAAGATACTAATTGATTAAAGTCAGTTCGCTATTATTAAATTTGATTCTATGAGTATGATGTGATGTATAATAAAAATAATAGCATAATATATTACTTGCTTATATAAATAGTAGTATAAAAATTGATTTATATTTATTTGTCACATGAGCAATTTATGAAAATTGTTGACTCAGAATAGCTAATCAATTTGACTATTCCTGCTGTTCTCTAAGTCAAACTTGAGTCTCAACTTGCATATTAAGTATAGATTTAAAAAAAAAATTGCATGTGTATGCAAAATATACATTTGTTTTTTTTTCAAAATTTGAGTAAGTTCTAAGTCTGACTTGGAAACGAACTTTACTGCTGTTCTCATAAATTCTGGAACATCTAAAAATTTATTTATTTCTCAAAATCTTTTCAGTTTCTAAAGAGTTAGATAATTCACAAAACGAAACTGAAGAAATTTCGAGAAACGAATAGATTTTTAGATGTCTCAGAATTTTGAAAATAGCTGTAATAAAAACTCAACTTTTGAAGCTGAGTCAGACTAGACCAAACTTTTAACATCTCTATCTGTTGATAATAAAATGTAAATTACTAATTTTTTTAAATTCTTTTTTTTCGAGCCTAACTACTATAATACAAAATTAGCTCAAGAATATTTTTTACTTAAGAAACAAATATTGTTATTTTAATTTTCTTTATAACTTTTTAAAGTTTGTATTTTCTTATAATTTATTATAAGATTTATCTCTTAATTTGTAGATTATTCAAAAAGTTTTTTCATCAACTCTTTCTACTAATTACTTGGACACATGTAAAGCAATACTGATCTATAAAAAAATATAGAAAATATAACAAAAGAATACATAATTCTAGTGTTACAAATTGACAAAAAAATTTTAATCAATTAGTTAGTTAATTATTTTCTTAATTGACAACTAGTTGCAACTAATCGATTAGTTAATTTATTAACTAATTGATAAGTTAATAAATTAATTAGTTGCAACTAATTAATTAATTTTTTTTTTTTAACCTTTCAGCAATCATGCTACAACTTTATTATAGTAATAGGAACGTCTCTATATTACAATTCTTTAGCTCAAGCTAATACTATTCCAAGTTATGAC